AGCACCATCACCAGTAAGAGCACCATCACCAGTCACCAGTAAGAGCACCATCACCAGTCACCATCACCAGTAAGAGCACCATCACCAGTCACCATCACCAGTCACCATCACCAGTACGAGCACCATCACCAGTCACCATCACCAGTAAGAGCACCATCACCAGTCACCATCACCAGTACGAGCACCATCACCAGTCACCATCACCAGTCACCATCACCAGTAAGAGCACCATGACCAGTACGAGCACCATCACCAGTCACCATCACCAGTAAGAGCACCATCACCAGTCACCATCACCAGTAAGAGCACCATCACCAGTCACCATGACCAGTAGCATTACTTTCTCTACCAGCAGACACGCCTCCTATATTACCACCAGCAGCAGCAGCAGCAGCAGCAGCAGACACGCCACCTAGTACTAGCAGCAGCAGCAGCAGACACACCTAGTACTACCAGCAGCAGACACGCCAGCTAGTACTAGCAGCAGCAGACACCCTCCCGCCACAAGGACTCCCTCCACGTGCCTACCCTCCGTCACATGATGAGCATCTAACCCAAATGATAGCTCCCCAATCCCTTTACCAGCGCCACTCTCAGCTGCCTTATCTGGCGGCTATCTGACCGATGCTGCTCCATAACCCGAGACCTCACACAACAGTCTCATCAACCGCCCTCATCTTGCCCTCCTGCTTTGCATACCCTCATGGGGGGAGTACTCTCACATGCCCACGCTCTCTAGGGGAATGTACTCTCACATGCCCACGCTCTCTAGGGGAGAGTACTGTCACATGCCCACGCTCTATAGGGGAGAGTACTCTCACATGCTCACACATGTTTGACACAGTACCCCCCATAAAAGGCTGTTAAAAAAGTTAGAGTAACAGGCAGGAGTAAAAGGTAAGGTGCTCCAGTGGATATGGGAGTATCTAAGCAACAGGAAACAGCGAGTAACTGTGAGGGAGGAGACATCAGAGTGGCGAGATGTTACCAGCGGAGTTCTACAGGACTCTGTACTTGGACCCATCCTGTTTCTAATATATGTAAACGATCTTCCAGAAGGTATAGACTCATTTCTCTCAATGTTTGCTGATGATGCAAAAATTATGAGAAGAATCAAGACTGGGAGAGGGAGTGGAAAATCGTGACCAATCCCAGCAAAATCCAACTTTGCCCGATAGGCTGCTGGACTAGCTCCCAGGGAGCTATCAACATTGGAGCCACGCTGACAAGGGTACAGAACTCAACCACGATCTTGGGGTACAACATAGCAAGGCTCCTGAACTCTAACGAACATATCAACAGGAAGGCAGCAACTGCCAGGACTCAACTTGTCAAGCTATACCGCTTCCATCTGTACTCCCTTGAGCGCAGGCGGGAGAGATACGTAATAATTTACACGTGGGAAATAATTGAGGGGCTGGTCCCAAACCTGCACACAGAAATAACATCACATGAGACCAGAAGACATGGCAGGATGTGCAGAATACCCCCGTTGAAAAGCAGAGGTGCAACAGGTACTCTGAGAGAGAACTCTATCAACATCAGAGGTCCGAGACTGTTCAACACGCTTCCACTTCACATAAGGGGCATAACTGGCCGACCCCTCACAGTGTTCAAGAGAGAACTGGATAAGCACCTCCAAAGGATACCTGATCAACCAGGCTGTGACTCATACGTCAGGCTGCGAGCAGCCGCGTCTAACAGCCTGGTTGATCAGTCCAGCAACCAGGAGGCCTGGTCGACGACCGGGCCGCGGGGACACTAAGCCCCGGAAGCACCTCAAGGTAACCTCAAGGTAAGGTAACCTCCATCAGGCCGCGCAACATGTAAAAATTTCACCTCTACAAGATGCTCATTCGGTCAACCCTTGAATACCCGTACACTCCACTCACTCTGGCAAAGAAATCGAACATGATGAAACTGCAACGGGTTGCCAGAACAGGGCACTCAGATTTGTGGCAAATGTATCACTCTTAGAGGGCGCATAGAAGCTCTTCATACCACACTGAGGATCGACCCACTGAACGTTCGCCTGAATCGCCTCTCGACCAAACAGCTATATAAAATGAAAAGTATGTACATGCCAAACCGTGAGGACCCCTTTGTTGTCCTCAACACGACGAATTACGCTATGCTCGACCAGCCCCACAGGTCGAGGAGGATGTCCCTCCAACATAGGGTAAGAAGATACATCCACGACAGAGCCTACCCCAGGTCCAGGATCTTAAGCAACCTACCATAAGAGGATGAATGGCATCCACCAGCCCCACTGTACCCCTTAGTCTTACCACCTGAAACCCACCGATTAAGGATATAAAAACTCCACCCAACCACCAACCACTGATAAAAAAACAAGCACAGCTCTCCAGGAATATCTGTGTGTAGCTACTTTATCAACCACCACCTGCACCATGGCTGCTTACCCCCAGCTGACCAGGTACTTTATCAACCACCACCTGCACCATGGCTACTCTCCCCCAGCTGACCAGGTACTTTATCAACCACCACCTGCACCATGGCTGCTCTCCCCCAGCTGACCAGGTACTTTATCAACCACCACCTGCACCATGGCTGCTTACCCCCAGCTGACCAGGTACTTTATCAACCACCACCTGCACCATGGCTACTCTCCCCCAGCTGACCAGGTACTTTATCAACCACCACCTGCACCATGGCTACTCTCCCCCAGCTGACCAGGTACTTTATCAACCACCACCTGCACCATGGCTACTCTCCCCCAGCTGACCAGGTACTTTATCAACCACCACCTGCACCATGGCTACTCTCCCCCAGCTGACCAGGTACTTTATCAACCACCACCTGCACCATGGCTACTCTCCCCCAGCTGACCAGGTACTTTATCAACCACCACCTGCACCATGGCTACTCTCCCCCAGCTGACCAGGTACTTTATCAACCACCACCTGCACCATGGCTACTCTCCCCCAGCTGACCAGGTACTTTATCAACCACCACCTGCACCATGGCTACTCTCCCCCAGCTGACCAGGTACTTTATCAACCACCACCTGCACCATGGCTACTCTCCCCCAGCTGACCAGGTACTTTATCAACCACCACCTGCACCATGGCTACTCTCCCCCAGCTGACCAGGTACTTTATCAACCACCACCTGCACCATGGCTACTCTCCCCCAGCTGACCAGGTACTTTATCAACCACCACCTGCACCATGGCTACTCTCCCCCAGCTGACCAGGTACTTTATCAACCACCACCTGCACCATGGCTACTCTCCCCCAGCTGACCAGGTACTTTATCAACCACCACCTGCACCATGGCTGCTCTCCCCCAGCTGACCAGGTACTTTATCAACCACCACCTGCACCATGGCTGCTCTCCCCCAGCTGACCAGGTACTTTATCAACCACCACCTGCACCATGGCTGCTCACCCCCAGCTGACCAGGTACTTTATCAACCACCACCTGCACCATGGCTGCTCTCCCCCAGCTGACCAGGTACTTTATCAACCACCACCTGCACCATGGCTGCTCTCCCCCAGCTGACCAGGTACTTTATCAACCACCACCTGCACCATGGCTACTCTCCCCCAGCTGACCAGGACAAAAAAAAGAGCCTTCTACTAACCACCATGTATCACCTCCACATTCATCCATCACTTCTCATCACAATCAACCCCAAAGTGCTTGGGCCACTTACCTGTAACCCCCTCCTCTCCCTCACACCCTAATCCTTTTCAAGTTTTTCTACATCCTCCCCCATCCTTCTGTTTCCGACTTACCAGTCCTATGGTCTTCAAACTCTGAAACTCCGAATCAAGACAGATGAAGTCAGACAGAGACTACGGGATGACCTGGACAAAATGGAGGAATGGTCTTGAAAATGGCTGCTAAAGTTCAACTCAGGAAAGTGTAAAGTAATGAAATTAGGCGAAGGTAGCAGAAGGCTGAACACTATGTACCATCTGGGAGGTGATATCCTCCAAGAGTCAAATAGAGAGAAAGATCTGGGGGTTGATATCACACCGAACCTGTCCCCAGAGGCCCACATCAAAAGGATATCATCAGCGGCATTTGCTAGGTTGGCCAACATAAGAACTGCCTTTGGAAACTTGTGTAAGGAATCGTTCAGGACCCTGTATACCACTTATGTCAGACCAATCCTGGAGTATGCAGCTTCAGCCTGGAGGCCATACCTAGTTAAACACAAGACAAAGTTAGAGAAGATTCAGCGGTATGCCACCAGACTCGTCCCGGAACTGAGAGATAAGAGCTACGAGGAAAGGCTAAAGGAGCTGAACCTCACGTTCCTGGAAAGCAGAAAAGTAAGGGGAGACATGATAACCACATACAAAATTCTCAGAGGGAATTAACAGGGTGGATAAAGAAACTCTTTAGCACAGGTGGAACACGAACAAGGGGACGCAGGTGAAAACTGAGTACCCACATGAGCCACAGAGACGTTAGAAAGAATTTTTTCAGTGTTAGAGTAGTTAACAGATGGAATGCACTAGGCAGTGATGTGGTGGAGGCTGACTCCATACACAGTTTCAAGTGTAGATATGATAGAGCCCAATAGGCTCAGGAACCTGTACACCTGTTGACTGACAGTTGAGAGGCGGGACCAGACAATCTGGGAGTGAGCATCTGGTTTCTTCAACACAGATAATTATTATTTCAGATAAATAATTTGTAACGCTTAATGAAGGGAAATCAGCGGGCAACATTTAGAGGGACTATCAGAGAGCGTCAGGTGCTGTGCCACGCAGAATGCCGATCAGTAAACTAAAACGTTATGGCATCAAAGACCCAATTTTAGGATGGCTCAAAAGCTTCCTGTGAGATCGCATACAACAACGACCCGGAAATGGAGAAAAGTCTGAGTGGAGAGAAGCGACTCCAGATATTCCACAAGGTGTCGTGTGCTCGACCCATTCGTCTTAGTCGTACCACACGTGCCACACCTACCACAACTACCACACCTGCTGCCAACCACCTTCACACACCACTTTCTCTAAGACATGGCAGAGGTTCTCTATAATAAGGCCGCCAACGACGGGACCAAACTATTAAACAATCGGAATATATCATTTAGCAATAACACTCTTCAAGACACTCAGGAACACATTATACAAGAAGATAACAAACATCATACAAACTCAAGTATACTAACAGTATAGTTTAAAAGAAGAATACAACTTCCAGGGTTCGAACCCATATGATAATGAAGATTCGTATAATTGAACCTCGGAACATCAAGTCTGCCTGGATGATTCTGCCATCCTTCTATGTTTTGATGCGTCTCATCAACTGTGTACCGGCGGCAAACTCTGACTCAAAGGACCCTTTATCCCTCACGTTATGGTACAATGTTATAAACAGTATGGGTGACCCCTGCGGTACTCCTCTTGTGTCGCCTCTCTACACTCCCAACGCTCGCGTTCCTCTTGTAGAAGTGTTCTCCATGTTGAACATGCTTGTCTCTGTCTGTCTGTGACGGAGCCTCTTGCGTGAGGGAGGCTGCCAAGCAATGCAGGAAGATGCTGTCTATTCTTCTGTTTCATAATGGGATCGCTGACATCCTGTCATACAACTGTGAACAGGTTTGTTGACAAGACAAACATGTTCACAGGTTTCTGAGGACCTGTGATTCCTGTGAACTTATGTAATTAAAGTTTGGCTATGTAATAGAAATCTGTATGCTTCATGTGCTCCATTAACCTGCCAATGAATGTATCAAGGATCATACAAGGTATACATATCTAGTTTATACATATCTCCCCCCCCCCGGCCACCACCACCACCAACCCCACCCCAACTCTGTAGACTCCCCCCCCCGCCACCACCACCAACCCCACCCCAACTCTGTAGACCCCCCCAACCACCAACCCCACCCCAACTCTGCAGACTCCCCCCCCCCCCTCGCCACCACCACCAACCCCACCCCAATTCTGTAGACTCTTCCCCCCCCCCGCCACCACCACCACCAACCTCACCCCAACTCTGCAGACCCCCCCCCCCACCCCCCCGCCACCACCACCAACCCCACCCCAACCCTGCACACCCCCAATACCCTCGCCTCCACCTCCGGCAAAGCCTACCCTCCAGCGGCATATTAATACCCTAATTGGTCTTTACACAGGCAAACGACCCGTGGCACGGCGAGGGCTGCCTGCCCACAGTTTGGCCACTGTGGCCCATCCCAACAAAGCCCACTGGACAAAGGGGCCGCCAAGCCTGAATGGCGCGGGCACGGGCCGCTTTGCATACAGAGATTCTGGGCTTAATGACGGAACATAGAGGAGCGAGTTGACTACCTGCTCTTAAGCGGCCATTGATCACAATGATGGGTGGTGGCGTGGCCTTCACCTCAATGGCCTTTCATGGTGCTATCAACCCTTTGAGCCAGCACCCGACCCCCCTCCGCCACCTCAACACTCTAATAGAGCAGTCATCTTTGGTTACTGATCTAAACCTTACATGAAGAATGCAACACTTTTTTATGGCGGGGAGGGGCGAGGGCGGCGGCGGCCGGAGACCCTTTCATCTCCACTTTACCATTTAATACATGGTTTAAATCCCTCCCTACATTACCATTTTTCTTGCCCATTAAACACTATTGTCTCAAACTGTTGCACTGTTTAGTATCATTAATTACTGTGCAGTCTGACGTATTCATATTGGTAAATGCGTTAAACCATCGATAACAGGATCCAGGCCTGAGGTGACAGGATCCAGGCCTCAGGTGACAGGATCCAAGCCTGAGGTGACAGGATCCAAGCCTGAGGTGACAGGATCCAGGCCTGAGGTGACAGGATCCAGGCCTGAGGTGACAGGATCCAGGCCTGAGGTGACAGGATCCAGGCCTCAGGTGACAGGATCCAGACCTCAGGTGACAAGATCCAGGCCTCAGGTGACAAGATCCAGGCCTCAGGTGACAGGATCCAGGCCTCAGGTGACAGGATCCAGGCCTCAGGTGACAGGATCCAGGCCTCAGGTGACAGGATCCAGGCCTCAGGTGACAGGATCCAGGCCTCAGGTGACAGGATCCAGGCCTCAGGTGACAGGATCCAGGCCTCAGGTGACAGGATCCAGGCCTCAGGTGACAGGATCCAGGCCTCAGGTGACAGGATCCAGGCCTGAGGTGACAGGATCCAGGCCTGAGGTGACTGGATCCAGGCCTGAGGTGACAGGATCCAGGCCTGAGGTGACAGGATCCAGGCCTGAGGTGACAGGATCCAGGCCTGAGGTGACAGGATCCAGGCCTGAGGTGACAGGATCCAGGCCTGAGGTGACAGGATCCAGGCCTGAGGTGACAGGATCCAGGCCTGAGGTGACAGGATCCAGGCCTCAGGTGACAGGATCCAGGCCTCAGGTGACAGGATCCAGGCCTCAGGTGACAGGATCCAGGCCTCAGGTGACAGGATCCAGGCCTCAGGTGACAGGATCCAGGCCTCAGGTGACAGGATCCAGGCCTCAGGTGACAGGATCCAGGCCTGAGGTGACAGGATCCAGGCCTGAGGTGACAGGATCCAGGCCTGAGGTGACTAGATCCAGGCCTGAGGTGACAGGATCCTGGCCTGAGGTGACAGGATCCAGGCCTCAGGTGACAGGATCCAGGCCTCAGGTGACAGGATCCAGGCCTCAGGTGACAGGATCCAGGCCTCAGGTGACAGGATCCAGGCCTCAGGTGACAGGATCCAGGCCTCAGGTGACAGGATCCAGGCCTCAGGTGACAGGATCCAGGCCTCAGGTGACAGGATCCAGGCCTCAGGTGACAGGATCCAGGCCTCAGGTGACAGGATCCAGGCCTCAGGTGACAGGATCCAGGCCTCAGGTGACAGGATCCAGGCCTCAGGTGACAGGATCCAGGCTTCAGGTGACAGGATCCAGGCCTGAGGTGACAGGATCCAGGCCTGAGGTGACAGGATCCAGGCCTGAGGTGACAGGATCCAGGCCTCAGGTGACAGGATCCAGGCCTCAGGTGACAGGATCCAGGCCTCAGGTGACAGGATCCAGGCCTCAGGTGACAGGATCCAGGCCTCAGGTGACAGGATCCAGGCCTCAGGTGACAGGATCCAGGCCTCAGGTGACAGGATCCAGGCCTCAGGTGACAGGATCCAGGCCTCAGGTGACAGGATCCAGGCCTCAGGTGACAGGATCCAGGCCTCAGGTGACGGGATCCAGGCCTCAGGTGACGGGATCCAGGCCTCAGGTGACGGGATCCAGGCCTGAGGTGACGGGATCCAGGCCTGAGGTGACAGGATCCAGGCCTGAGGTGACAGGATCCAGGCCTGAGGTAATAGGATCCAGGCCTGAGGTGACAAGATCCAGGCCTCAGGTGACAGGATCTTATATATCACCTTCAAAGCAGACCTGATCAACCAGGCTGTGATTCATACGTCAGGCTGTGAGCAGCCGCGTCCAACAGCCTGGTTGAGCAGACCGCCAATCAGGAGGCCTGGCCGCCGAGACGGAGGTAATGACTAATAATGTCTTCACTGGCTCTCCTATCCTTCAGTATGGTCAGCTCCAGTTCACTCACTCTCTCCTCGTAGCTCAAGACCTTCAGCTCAGGAACCAGCCTCGTTCTATTTATAATGGACCTTCTCTATTTCACCTGCAAAGATCTTATGATCTTTTTCAGGTGAGGGTTCGACACCGGGGCTGAGCAGAGTGTGACACAGGCGGTGTACAGGGCTCGGGAGGGTCCCCGTCTCTGCATGTGTAGGGATCCCGGACGCTGGTCACTGTAGCTTATGATCTATGTAGGGATCCCGGACGCTGGTCACTGTAGCTTATGCTGCTGACATTATTTAGGCAGCGGATTTGGGGTTATGTCTACTCTCATATCTCTCTCCTCTTCTAACACACCAGTCTGTCTCCCTTTCACCTTGTACTGCTGTACTGTACATGTCTTGGTACTGCTGGTCCAATCCTCGTCACTTTGCATTTTGCTAGGTTAATTTCTAGATGCCTTCCTACTTGGTGTGCAGTTCTCAGTGAATGATGGATTCTGCCTCAGAGTTCCTTCTCTTCATCACTCTGCTGGAAGATAATGTTGTCAGTTGTGTAGTTGTGGCGTGGGTTGTTACGTCCCACCTGTAAGCTCTTACATTGGTCCATATTACAAAACATTTGCCAGTCTTGTGACCACTTGTGGAGTTCATGTAGATTTATATGTAAGCACTCAATATAATTTTCACTTTCCACTTTAGCATATATCTTAGTGTCATAAATGTGATTTAGTGAGAATAATTAGGTAGGAACGCAACAGACACAAGGCTAGTAGTGCGGGGCATAACTAGCTACACCTCACGGGCTACACTAATAGGTGTTTACTAACAGGTGAGTGCGCAGAATGCAGGCTGCAACAGTTAACTCCCAGATGCTTATATTACTGCAAGGTGAAGACGGCCTCGGATGAAAGCGTCTGCTCATTTCATACAGCCGTGGCTGGGAATCGAACCCAGGTTCGTGTACTGCGATTGCCGAACGCTGTCCGCTGGGCCGTGTGTGCGCGTACATGTGCGTGGGAATATATATAGAGCAGAGGGTTGTACAAGCTGTCAAGTATGACACCTCCATCTGTCAGCCTGACACGGCGGCCATCAGGTGTGGAGGGTACCCCCAGTGTGTGTGTGTGGAGGGTACCCCCAGTGTGTGTGTGTGAAGGGTACCCCCAGTGTGTGTGTGTGGAGGGTACCCCCAGTGTGTGTGTGTGGAGGGTACCCCCAGTGTGTGTGTGTGGAGGGTACCCCCAGTGTGTGTGTGTGGAGGGTACCCCCAGTGTGTGTGTGTGTGGAGGGTACCCCCAGTGTGTGTGTGTGTGGAGGGTACCCCCAGTGTGTGTGTGTGGAGGGTACCCCCAGTGTGTGTGTGTGTGGAGGGTACCCCCAGTGTGTGTGTGTGGAGGGTACCCCCAGTGTGTGTGTGTGGAGGGCACCCCCAGTGTGTGTGTGGAGGGTACCCCCAGTGTGTGTGTGTGGAGGGTACCCCCAGTGTGTGTGTGTGGAGGGTACCCCCAGTGTGTGTGTGGAGGGTACCCCCAGTGTGTGTGTGTGGAGGGTACCCCCAGTGTGTGTGTGGAGGGTACCCCCAGTGTGTGTGTGGAGGGTACCCCCAGTGTGTGTGTGTGGAGGGTACCCCCAGTGTGTGTGTGGAGGGTACCCCCAGTGTGTGTGTGTGGAGGGTACCCCCAGTGTGTGTGTGGAGGGTACCCCCAGTGTGTGTGTGGAGGGTACCCCCAGTGTGTGTGTGTGGAGGGTACCCCCAGTGTGTGTGTGGAGGGTACCCCCAGTGTGTGTGTGGAGGGTACCCCCAGTGTGTGTGTGGAGGGTACCCCCAGTGTGTGTGTGGAGGGTACCCCCAGTGTGTGTGTGTGGAGGGTACCCCCAGTGTGTGTGTGGAGGGTACCCCCAGTGTGTGTGTGGAGGGTACCCCCAGTGTGTGTGTGTGGAGGGTACCCCCAGTGTGTGTGTGGAGGGTACCCCCACAGTGTGTGTGTGGAGGGTTCCACCAGTGTGTGTGTGTGGAGGGTACCCCCAGTGTGTGTGTGTGGAGGGTACCCCCAGTGTGTGTGTGTGGAGGGTACCCCCAGTGTGTGTGTGTGGAGGGTACCCCCAGTGTGTGTGTGTAGGGTCCCCCCCCTGTGTGTGTGTGGCGGGGCCCCCCCGCGTGTGTGTGTGGTGGGTACCCCCAGTGTGTGTGTGTGTGGAGGGTACCCCCAGTGTGTGTGTGTGGAGGGTACCCCCAGTGTGTGTGTGTGGAGGGTACCCCCAGTGTGTGTGTGTGGAGGGTACCCCCAGTGTGTGTGTGTGGAGGGTACCCCCAGTGTGTGTGTGTGGAGGGTACCCCCAGTGTGTGTGTGTGGAGGGTACCCCCAGTGTGTGTGTGTGGAGGGTACCCCCAGTGTGTGTGTGTGGAGGGTACCCCCAGTGTGTGTGTGTGGAGGGTACCCCCAGTGTGTGTGTGTGGAGGGTACCCCCAGTGTGTGTGTGGAGGGTACCCCCAGTGTGTGTGTGTGGAGGGTACCCCCAGTGTGTGTGTGGAGGGTACCCCCAGTGTGTGTGTGTGGAGTGTACCCCCAGTGTGTGTGTGTAGTGTACCCCCAGTGTGTGTGTGTGGAGCGTCCCCCCAGTGTGTGTGTGTGGAGGGTACCCCCAGTGTGTGTGTGTGGAGGGTACCCCCAGTGTGTGTGTGTGGAGGGTACCCCCAGTGTGTGTATCATATTAGATATACAGCCATAACCACAAAGCATAACAACCACACAACCTTAACAACATAACCTTTACTACATAACCTTAACAACCAAACAATAACAACTACACTATACCACAACCATCACACAACTACAGCAACCACCCTAACGATCAAACAACCATAACCATACAACCACACACCATACACCATGAACAAATCCACAAGGGCTGTGATGAGGTTTCGAACCTACGCACGGGATGTTCCCACATGCGCCTTAGTCAAGTGTACCGCCACATGGTCAAAAGAATTGCAACCTGGAGTTGGAAAACCAGAGGTAGAACATCTGGTTGACAGAGCCCGGGAGCATGCGGGGAATTGTGTAAAACTGTGGTTGTGGTTCGGAGAAGCTGCGGGGTCCTAGTGAGGGCAGTAGCACTTCACGTTGCAATTATTTTGAGCATGTCGTGGCACAGTTGACTAAGGTGCGTCTGGGATGATCCCAGACGTAAGTTCGAACCCTTATCACGGCCCCCGTGGATTTGTTCATTTGATATATCACGCTATTGTGGTTTCTATGAGCCATAATAACTTGTACATTCGCCTAAATAACTGACTGTTTTAGTTATACCCGTCTGAGAGTATACGGCCGTCTGAGAGTATACGGCCGTCTGAGAGTATACGGCCGTCTGTGAGTATACGGCCGTCTGAGAGTATACGGCCGTCTGTGAGTATACGGCCGTCTGTGAGTATACGGCCGTCTGTGAGTATACGGCCGTCTGAGAGTATACGGCCGTCTGTGAGTATACGGCCGTCTGTGAGTATACGGCCGTCTGTGAGTATACGGCCGTCTGTGAGTATACGGCCGTCTGTGAGTATACGGCCGTCTGAGAGTATACGGCCGTCTGTGAGTATACGGCCATCTGTGAGTATACGGCCGTCTGAGAGTATACGGCCGTCTGAGAGTATACGGCCGTCTGAGAGTATACGGCCGTCTGTGAGTATACGGCCGTCTGTGAATATACGGCCGTCTGCGTTAATTATAACACAGGGGACCTGTTATACCCCCCTCCCCACCACCCCTCCCCCCCCCACCTTGAGCCATTCACAAAACATGCCCAAAATGCTCGGACAAGAGGGGCGTATAATCAAGGTGTAAACATCACCCCATATTACCATATTCCATTTTGTGTGAGGTCCACGCCCCCCCCCCCACACCTGCGGAAACACACCAGGAATAACAAACAAACAAACAAAATAAGAAAAAAAAATCTGAGTGAGAAATTCCATCAAAACTCTGCCGTAATCACAAGTTTATGACAACTTGTCCCAGAACTCAAGTCACATCCAGTTCTTTAATCAGCATAGCTATCTAATCCATCCCGGGGGGGGGGGGGGGGCGTCTGGACGGTACGTTCCACACGCTGATTGGTCGCTGTGCTCCTCCTCGCCTTCCTGATTGGCTATGGGGTCTAATGACGTAACACTTAGCTCCCTGACTGGCTGGCAGAGGTAATGACGTCACTGGTTCAAGATGGAAAAGTTCATTTCACAAGAGTGTTTGTACACTCAAACTTCATCGACGGAAGCTGAGTATTGCACACACATCACTAGGATTGGTAGACGGGAGATTACACCGGGGGGGGGGGGAAGGTGGGTGGAGGATGGGTGGAGGATGAAGAGGAAGGTGGGTGGAGGATGAGGAGGAAGATGAGTGGAGGATGAGGTGGAAGATGAGGAGGAAGATGGGTGGAGGATGAGGTGGAAGATGAGTGAAGGGTGAGGTGGAAGATGAAGAGGAAGATGGGTGGAGGATGAGGTGGAAGATGAGTGGAGGATGAGGTGGAAGATGAGGTGGAAGATGAGGTGGAAGATGGGTGGAAGATGGGTGGAAGATGAGGTGGAAGATGGGTGGAAGATGAGGTGGAAGATGGGTGGAGGATGAGGAGGAAGGTGGGTGGAGGATGAGGAGGAAGATGGGTGGAGGATGAGGAGGAAGATGGGTGGAGGATGAGAAGGAACATGGGTGGAGGATGAGGAGGAAGATGGGTGCAGGATGAGGAGGAAGATGGGTGGAGGATGAAGGGGAAGATGGGTGGAGACGGACAGGTGGTGTAGGGAGACAGGAAAGGTAGGTGAAGGCAGAGAAGACAGACTGGGTGAGACTGAGTGTGAGGGGAG